TTCAAAATGTGTTGTTCAAAAGCGATTGTTTTGTCTTTGCTGCACTTCCTGTCTAGAAAGGCAGCGTGCACACATCTTATCAGCTGTGTGTAAACTACAAACAGATATCTTATCAGTTGTTTGTAAATAGCAAATAAAGAAAGTGGCTCAACTTAAAACTATTTACCCTCAGTTCAGTTATGTTTGTAAACCATGCATATTAATGAGATGCACTAGTTTGGTGTACACTGGATAAACAAAAACTTGGCCATTTGTTTGCACACAAGAAAAAAATCAGTTTACTTGTACAAGATATTTTTTTTCAATAAAATAAAAACACCAATGTATGTAGCATGCCTTAGGGAGCTATTCGTGTGATTTTCAAAAGAAAATGTGAAAAGTGCACAAAAAACTATTCTGCTACCTTAAAGCGTTCAGGGTTCTTAATATGCCCTGGTCATCAAGTTAGGTTCTCGTATTTTTTTTTTTGATTTTACAACTTTATTTTCTCACATGGCAAAAACATGACCCAAACGAATGCCGTAACCAACATGTGACATAAGATGAATATTATGTTAACTATATTATATCTAGTGTGTCTCAGAGACTGAATAAAAGGAAAACTATTTCTTAATCCTTTTGCAATGTATATGTGTATGTGCACATATAAAACTGATTTAACTGATCCACATTCTGACATAAAATATGTCTACAAATGATGTTGATTATTTTGAATCAAAATCACAATCCCACTTCTGACACCAAAATGTTACAGTGTAAGGCCTGCTTATTGCTACTGAGAGGGGCACCCACAGAACTCACACTGAACAGGGGGTTCACTGCTAGAAATGGGGTAGACACTGAAAATGAAATACACATACACAAAAATGTCAAGTTAACGCTCCAGGCTTCAATACCTTTCAAAACAATTAAAAAAAGAAAAGAAAAGGAAAAAAAATGAAGAAAAATTCAATGAATAAATTCACAAAAATAGGGGACTGCCTCGGGAAGTGTGCATTGGTTATAACTCAAGATGTAGTCAATGGCTTCTACAACACAACAGCGAAGATATATAGGAGTCTTGTTTGCAGAGGAACGCGTTAATCTGGAGGGCACCGCTGAAAGCAGGAGTTAAAAACAAATATGATCTGTCAATCATCTTTATGACAGTTATCACACGGCAATACACACTGTTTTGTTTCTTCCCATGATTCCATGCACACTTATGACAAAAACATAAAATAAAGGATGCTGACAATGATCATGAGGTACTGTTGTTTCTGTGGGGTTGGAGAAAGTTGTTTCAGGGATGGGATCCTGTAACGACTATCAACCTAGAACTAGCCAATGCTCTTTTTATTGGCCTAAAATAAAGGCTATCATAGAGCATATGAACTGTGTACAATGGAAGTCCTTACCAAATAGAGCGACTGCATTAATTAACATTCAAACCAGTGATCAGTGGATTTCATTACCCTGAAACCAGATCGCAGTAATTCTCAAAATATCTTTGTTGTCACTGATCATTACACCGAATAATGTTCAAGCATTTCAAGATCATTATGGATCCGCAAGTTGACTTATATGCAGAAATTTGGTTTGTTATTGCATTCTGAATTTAATTTTATCACCTTGTAATTCCCATACGCATTGATATTTCACATTCACTTTAATAACTTGTTGTTTACAGTTATCGTTACTGTTGACAATTCACTGGCAACAGTCAGTCGTCAGCCAGTTGCCAGTCACCAACATATGTGCAGCAACAGTACAGTAGCTGTCTATTGAGCAACTGCCCAAGACCTAGACTGACATGCTTTTGAAGTTTAAAGCATGTATCTGTGTTAATTTTGGTGTTTGAGATGAGAATAGTCTGTGTTTGTTTTTTTATATTGTCAAGTAACTGTTTGTTGATCGAGGTATTATTTGTAGTGTCTACCATCGCGGGTACATATTGTTTATGTACCTATCCATGTGCTATGATTACATGGGTTGGCGGGGTCAGTTGCAGGTGGCTTGCAGCTGCTTGATTGTAACAGATGCTCATCTACGATTTGGAGCTGAGATGAGTAAGTTTAAATTCTGGTCATATTCAAAGCAATCTAGTCCCAGCTGAATAAATGAACTGGCAAACCACCCCGATAGTAAGATGTTGTTACCTGGTAACATTATTATGAAAAATATAGTAATGCTTCTAAGACACGATACTCTTCTTGGACTATATTTTCCTATAGAATTTGTGCTTTAAATCCTACTTGAATGATGACCTCATCACATCACTGACACATGCTGTCTCAGTTTTAATGAAAATAAACTATCATTCATTTACTTTTGTAGATAATATTTATTCAGAAATGAAGCATTCGAAATCCTTGAACATATGGCATACTGCTAAAATTCTCACCAAGAAAATTATCAAAGTATTCTTGTACAAGTGTCTGTCTGCCCGTCAATGAGTATGTGCCAAATCTAGTTCAACCAATATCTCGCAGGTTGCATTGGCATGAAACTTGAAGAACAGCTGCTATATCATGATCACATGGCTTAATTAGATTTTAGTACCAATCTGTGCATGTTAATTAGGTAATTTACATAGTTTTACTTCTTTATCAAATCATTAGGTTGCATATCCAATAATTACCTACACAAGAGAGTCCAATCTTACGCTAGAAACTTGTTTGTTTTTCTTTTTGAATTATTTTTTTTCTCAGCATTGTCTTCCATTTTCTTATGCCACGTTCTTGTTTTTGAGATGTTATCAATCGAGGGCACCCTTTAAATTTATGTTTGTTAAAAGTGTTTTAACATTTTAGAAGAATTTAATAACCATCTCCCTTCATCTGTTTTCTCTGCTTCACTGAACATCTCTGAACATTTGCTACACAATTCCTGTTCTCCCGCTATTTGTATTTGCATATCATGAGCTTTAGCCTTTGAAAAAACACCCGAGATGTAAGACATGTCAGTACCAAAGGTCACCTACTTGAATAATTAATTAATTAATAAACTACATGCCCATAGTTGTCAACTGGCGGGTGATTCAAATGCCACAGACTCGTGTAGTTGTTGTAGTTTTGTTCTCTCTTGATGTTACATTTTCATAGTACAACTAATCTATTTATTTTGAGATTGTTGTGTGATAAAATTGGCAAAACACTTTTCGTTATTTGAGCAGAGCGATATTTGAGTAGAATATTATTCACTGGCACTATTATTTGCAACGGGATGTTTTTTCATCCCTGAATGAAAGTCACGAGACGAATGGATTTAGTGTGCGTTAATTTGTCAGTGATTGCATCAATGAATACTGATAAAATGATTCCTGACAAATGTACTCATTTATCGAAACTAACTCCCAGAAAGATTATAGGAATAAATTCAAATTGAACCGAAGCACCTAGAGACTATGTCATCGAACACGCATGCTGAATGACTTTCCGCTTTGGCTGGAGTTACTGTGTCACCAAACTTGTCGCCACGCCTTTGCTGAGATTGCACAAGACAATTCATCAACCAATGTAGGTATTCTGACTCAGAGATTCAAAAGAGGTGCATAGTTTACTTCTGGTAAATTATGCAAATAAGGGCATATGAATGACTTGGAGAAATTGAACAATCAACGTGCCACCTTTAAATTCGAATCGTGTAGCAAATGTTCTGGGGCCTATTGTTTAGCAAAGTGGAGAAAACAGGCAGAGACCGCTGGGATATAAATTTAATAACAAATAACTACTGGAACTGTTTGCTTGTTTTACCATATTGAAGAGACGGTGCTGGTATTAATAAGGGCTAAACAATTCATGAAAATAATAAATAAAAAGGGTCAGATCATTCAATTTAAATAAACAACATGGATAACTCCAACTCTTGTTTCTGTGCATATTACACACTTACTTACACCTGCTTTTGAATTCCCTTAAATTGTTTCTTTAAAAAGTCATTGCTACATTCTAATTTGTGTTTACTATCAACATTTTACAGATATATTTATATGCATAGATGACCTTCCCCATCCTATGCTATGATCTTCCAACCACATGCTGTAATCTCCATCCTCCCATCTTTTACTATGATTTGCCCTATCTATGCTATCTATGTATCGATATCGCCATCCTAATACAAACGGGAACTATGTCATTGACAATGACTTGTGTTCAATTTGGTTTAATGTGCATGGCAATACTTTGTTTCAATGACGTCTCCTGTACATTACAATTTGTGTCCTGAAATTGAAATGCATCCAAATAAAGACAGTTTAATAATTGTTCTCATTACATCATGTTACATCATGTTGTCAATGAACACGAGTGAACCGTGACTGTGAACCAGGCTGGAACTGGCCAGTGGCACCATATCTTCTTAGCAGAAGAAGCTAAAGGTGATGGCGAGTGGTTACAGAGAGGAATCAAAGCACTTGATGCATTGTGTTATATTGTGTTTGATAAACACAAAAAGAAAAGTGGTCGATGGTTGGTGGCACAAGACATATCCTCATATTGCACAATTAAAAAACCAACAGTCTGGATCGCAGAATGACTGACAGATATATAGAACAAAGGTACTTGAACCTGATGCTACATTGGTGGAGAAGTAAGTATCAAGCAGAACATATTAAACATCCTAGGAGCAAATCTTACATTTTCATGCATATTGTTCTGTTGTTTTTGTAGTTGTAATACATCTTACTCCAGACAGGAAGGCATAAAACGTTTGTATTGGTAATAATGATCAATAAACCGATGCCAGATCATAATCGACCATGCTGACGAATTGCCTATACACATGATTACACATCATGGTGGTTAGCTTTGCTTATATCTTGGTCATCATTTCTGAACGCCCTTACAATGGCTAGGACAGCCCGTGCACAATCGTCTCCCTAAACTCCTGTAATAAAAAATAAAAATATCATTCACAAAGCTCCTTGTATTCGATATCCCTAGAGACGATTAATGTACCACATTTAGTTACACTAATGAGTTATTTTGAAAGATCATCACATGATTTTACTATAAGAAAGCTTACAGTCCAGCCTTGATGCAGAGATTGAATAAAGGACAGACTATCAAGAGACATTGTTTGAGGGGCTTCTTGAATCAGAAATGCAACCGAAAAAGTATCCTGCATAAAACATATTATCAGCAATGTTGGCCTTCAACTCGTCATATTCAAATTTTACTACACTCTCATAATTTATTTACCTGTTTTACAACTGTGATTCAGAATATAATGTATTGTGGCCATTTGCGGGTACACATTTGCGAATGTGTACTTACTCTATTGTAGAATCTTGTTTAAACAAAAAATTGAATTTATTGTATTCTAAGAAATAGGAGTTTTACCACAGTCGTACCTGTAATCGTATGTAATACAGTACAAAAGTTTTTGAAGGGTTTTATTTCCGCACTGTATTCTTACATAATTAGGGGTAGAGCTTTAGAAATTCTGGTGTTGGCGTCTGTTACTTCCTGCTTGGTTGGCGACTAAATAATCGCTTCACTAAAATCAACAGCTGCTCTCTTGTCATGGCTTCATAGGTTGTCTACATTGTATAGAATACCACACATTTTAATATTTACATAGAATAAATTGTTATTTGTTACCAGCAAACTATATGTTATACATTTTGTTTGTATATTTGAAATGAATAATACAAATAATTGCATTACTCACGATTGCTGAATGTTCCATTGGTACTCTCTCTTCATTTCCGTCTGCTACTTCAACTTTTTGTCCCCTTCCTCTACCTCTAATTGATCCTTTCTTGACTTCCTCAATACCTCTCGCTAATCCTCTTCCACGTTCTTTTGCACTTCTTTGTCTTCGTAAATGCTGTACACTACTTTGAATCTCATCACTTGATGATGACATTGGTTTAACATTTGTCTTGATAATAAAAACAAGTACACAAAATGCATCACAGAAGGGTGCAAACAAACAAATTCATTGGCTTCATATTAATGGCCGGGCTTCTGCTAACCCATTGCCAGTCATCAATGGCAAATTATTTTTTGAACCATGAATTATTCTGTATAAAGCATGACATCATCAACAGAAATGTAAATTAAACATCTGGTAAACGTGTGGGTTGATATAAAGTGTATGCTACACTTTGACAATTAGAACATATACATACTTACATAGCATTTTGTTTCAGAACTTTTAATTCAGTTCCCGGGTGGCAAATAAGCCGTCGCTCTCAAGAAAATCAACAAATTGCTCGTTCAATAGGAATACATAATTATTCCTGTACGATAAATTAAAAAAGTGAATTAAATTTACTGTGTTCTGGGAATGTGCGTAAATTATGTAGACCCGATCAGCAAGTTCAACGTTAACGAAAACAATTTGTATTCTACTAAATGGTCTATCCTACAGGTATTTTCAATAAAAAAACAACAACTTACAGGTGGAAATTAGATAGCAAAGTTTGGATAGAAATACATTATTCATTACTTACCGGTACTCACGACTCCACCATTGTTGTAATGGCGACCTATGACCCCTATGACGCCACCATTTTCTGCGTTCGTAATCACATGACCGGTATCTCCAGCAATGGCGACGGATTGAAGCTATGTTTACAAACAAATTCTTTACAGCGCTGTCATATTGCCACGATATCGGCATTTTAAAAGCACGATGTTTGGATTGAATAGGTAAACTATGATTATGTGTGGTTATTTAACGTTATTAAAGAGTGAAAAAAATGGCGCGACGACTGCCGCCTTTTAAAATACCAATGCTCCGATCTTTAGCCCTGTACACATACATATACCACTTGATATTCCTTAACACGCACCCATACACTCGACACTCCTACATGCGTATTGATACCCTATAGAATTCCTACTGGCTCATTGCAGACACATATTACACTATCCATGGAGCCTCAGGTATAATACCTCCATGCTCTATCAGAGAAACCCCTGCTGAATGATGAGGTTTCCAGGCCAGGGACCGGTTCACTGCTGTCTCATCCACCACCCATTAAGACTTGTAATCAGATAGTCCTAAGTTGAATCCTGTGAATAATAAAGGTGGTTTCTTGTAACTGACAACTGTGTAACCTGGTTCTGTTGAGCTTGATGACATGAGTAGCAGACCTAGGAAGACTAATGCGGGTCGACCTGCAGAAAGGCTGACTTATGATATTCGAGGTGAACCCACTAGTTACTGTGCCAATAGTTTTAGTTGTTCCATGGTTGTACCTACACATATATTTGCGACTTTTTTGTACTATTAATTGTATTGTACTTTTGTAGGTTATGAACTACTAAAATCGACTGGGTTTTGCTATGTTGACATTATAGTATCATTGTATTGTAGAGTATTACACAAACCTATTCTGTCATGGTATTTAAAGCGCGGTAGTCGTCGCATGTGCAAAATATATGGGTCTCATATATGGCGACTTTCACTGATCAACGCAGATCAACGAGTACGAACTGAGACGTTTCCAAGCTTTAATTAGGTAATTTCCATGTTATTCGAAGGTATCAGGGAGTCGCCGGCGGTAATCAGTGCACAGATAGAGGGACTGTGATCAGTGCAAGTCGCGCCCAGGTCAAACCTCATACTTGTGATTTTCATTTGAAGAGCGCATTGGATTGTGGGAAAATCAATGTTTATCAACACAAATGTCGCACATGCGCAGCGCGACGACTACCGCGCTTTAAGCTATTATCAGGGGGAATTCTTTTCTCTGGGATCTCCACACGTGTCAGAGGGGAATCTCGTCTCGTCTCTATATCGCGACCCTTTGAGGTACGGGATCGGGTAAGTCACTTAGACTATACAGTCAAATAAGACACACTTAATAAAATACGGTTCAACTCTCGTCTTAGCCGATCTGTCGAGCACTCTATAAGACGCAGCGCCCTGGGGAAAAATCCCCAAGACTATCGCAAGGCTGACCCAAGACTCGCCCAAGACTGTGCTTAGACTGCCTTAGACTCTCCAGGACTGGACTCTCGACTGCGTCTATCGTGGTGTACTCGCCAAGACCAACTCAAACTCTCTTTATTCATTTTCAAAACTCTAACCAATTACAAAGCAGTAAAAAGACTCTAAGGCCTAACCTTCAATCATAAAGCCAATCACACTAAGTACTGAATACGTCATATCTTTTGATTAATCGTTCACTATATTAATAACTACGGATACCAACTGTCAGAAATAGTAGTCAGAATAGCGACGGTTATCTCGTAATTAGTTCCAAATCACTGAGACAAGTTCCGTCCAAAACGTCACATGGCCTAAACGGTGACAGACATAACACAGCAATTCACTCGTAATCAGCTAATTAAGTCGATCAACAGATACGCGTAAACTAATTCATGACACTATTTAGTGCCTCGGGGACGAGTGAATGGTTGGAAGGGGAAATGGAACCCAACTTGTATGATTCTATGTATTGCGCCCTCTGTCTATAATATTAATGAGCATATTTCACTCTTGACCCAGGCTACATCAGAACGAAAAGAATCCTTTCACACATTTAGTTCGCGCACCACCAGAAAATCATCAGTTTTGATGCTGTATGTGACCTATGTTAGTTCTTAGTGTTTTGCAATCGTTGGCTTCCACATCGTGCTCGGTAGATAATGTGATGGTGAATGCAAGCAGACTGGTGGCGTCTGAAAAAACGGTCTCACGCCGAGTTCCAGTTTATGCTCAGACCACTAACATTAGTGGTCTGAGGTTTATGTTATCCCTCTCTAGTGTGCATTGCAGCAGTTATTTGAAGGGATGAAGGGGGGAAATCCTACTAACGGCTGTGATTAAAGAAACCAGAACTGGGTAAAGAACTTTAGTAGGACGTGACTATCATTATGATAGTTTAAAGCGCGGTGGTCGTCGCGCGGCGCGTGTTCGAATTTCATGTAAATAAACAATGTATTTTACACGCGTTGTATACGTCGCTATGAGTCCCATATCGAACAGGACGCGGCACGACGACTGCCGCCCTTTAAGAACAATCCCATAGATTATGAATGGATGGTTTCCCTGAGAAAACGTGTATAGTTTATAACAGAGTTGTCACTTTTTATCGTATCATTTTACTAGCATAGTGTTAGCTATACTAGTAGTAGAAAGTTGTATATTTCCCGTGATTCAAAGTTCGGTTAACTGATAATTAAAATTCGTGTTACTAAATTTGAACTTTAAACAAAACAAAAAAATCCATGTTGCCCGTAATTCGAAGTTCGGTTTAACTGTTATTTAAAGTTCGAGTTACTAAAGTGAACGTTTAACAAAAATAAAAATTTAGGTTGTCAGTAATTCGAAGTTCGGTTAACTGTTAGTAAAAGTTCGAGGTTTGTAACTCGAGGCGTGGCTTATTAAATATGGGCGTGGTCATTTTTGTAACTCGATGTTTTCGAAACTGGAACAATTATGCATCTCCACCCATGAGTCTTTGCGTTTTAGCGCGCGTTGTTATCGTCGATTGTGACTCAATTCCCGCGCGTGCGAACGCGGGTGACGACCCTTCCGCTTCAAATATTCATCCTCCACAAACTACCGTGTTTCCGATTTATTTCCTATGATAATCCCTGAGATAGTTTGACAAAACTCGTCACACACAATAATCGGAGTAAAATTTCGATAAACATAATTAACGCTTGCTAGGTTTGCACCACATCAAATATCAGCATTTTTACTATCTAGCAAAACACAGGCCAGTAACTCGCGGCTATCAAACCATACAAACTATGTCA